GATATTTGTGATAGTGAAAAGTCATTTGGGGTATTACTGTTGTTCTTGGAGGAGACTTTCGACAAATCTTACCAGTTATACCCAAATGAGTTCGTGAGCAAATTGGGAATGCATCATTAAGACACTCTGTTCTATGGAAATATATATATATATATCTTAACTTTTGATTTGAATATGAGTTTGAATCATGAAGGCCATGAAAATGCTAATTTTGCAAATTTCTTGATGGAGGTAACACTACTTTAACCTTTTTCCATATTATATAAATTATTTTAAATTAATAAATTGTGTTTACACTCTTACGTTTTTATTGATTTCACTTTTTTTAGATTGGGGCCAATCCTCAAGAAATCGTTAACCTTCCATCAACAATACACAAATGTCAAGATTTGAATGAATTACTCTCTACAATTTACCCACAGTTGAATATGATAGAGACGTCAACCCCACCTTTTTTAACTGAACACACAATTTTGTCTGCGCGTAATGATGATGTTAGTGACATTAATACTATTGTGTTGACTATTTTTCCAGGAAGATTATATACTTATCTTGCAGCAAATAAAATGTCTAAAGATAATGAAATTGATCTTACCATTACAAATAGATATCCTAATGAATATTTAAATTCATTGGATCCTTCTGGACTGCCAACTTTTAAGTTAGAGTTGAAAGTGGGTTGTTTTATAATATTGTTGAGAAACATTACACCGAAAGATAGATTATGTAATGGTACAAGATTGATGGTTACTAGGTGCGACACTCGTATAATTGAAGCTCAAATTTTAACTGGAGAAAAGTTTGGCGATTTGGCATTCATACCAAGGATATATTTGACACCATCTTCTTCAGAAATGCTGTTCCAAATGACAAGACGTCAATTTCCAGTCTGATTGGCATATGTCTTGACCATTAATAAATCTCAAGGACATTCTGTGAAATTTGTTGGGGTTGATTTACGCATACTAGTGTTTAGCCATAGACAATTATATGTGGCATTGTCCAGATGTACATCCTTTGATCGTATAAGTATTCTCATTCCTAAAGATAGTTTAGATTTTACTACAAATATTGTTTATCCTGAAATGTTGTTGTAGTGTTCTATATAGATTACATTACGTTTTATCATAAGGTAACCATGTAGATTTATTTCTATTGATTATAAACTTTTTATAAAATTTTAATTTAATAATAATTTGAAATATGGACTTTTGTAGGATTGGATCAAAAAATCTATGGAGCTTAAAAAGAGAAATATGACTAGCTTGCTTCGATGGAGATGTAATAAGGTAATTTCAATCTCAAAGTATTTTGATATGTATATTTCCTACAAATGTACTAATCTATATTTTTTTTGTTTCCACAAATTACCAGATTGTTGTGCATGTTCCTCATTGGGGATACATACAAGTTGATACTAAGACTTTTTGGAAAGTAATGAGGAGGAAGTTTGAGCAAACACATGTTTGAAGACATGTTATTGACACATCTTTTGTAAAGCATACATATTTTGAAAAGCTTTAACCCACTTTTTGTAAAATTTTAACCCACTCTCTTGGTGTATGACAATATAATGTTTGTTTTTCTTATATAGTTATAATTTGATTGGCAGCAGTAGCACTAACTGGTGTGCATTTTTATTTTAATTTCTTTTAGATTGCAGAGCACTGGCCGGTGTACATTATTTGATATTTAATTTTTTTTTATATTTGATTTGTTTGGAATTGTAGAGTACAGGCTGTTTTGTATTGTTTGACATTTAATTTTCAATTCAATTTGTTGAGATTGTAGAGCACTTATTGATGTGCTTTATTATATAGATTTAGTAATTTTTTTTCTTTTTATTATAAAACGTTAACAAGTATATACAATAACTTTAATTTCTGTTTTTGTTCAGTGTTTACAATTTTTTGTTTCTTAATTTGCATTAAGATTAGGGAGAGTTATTATTTTATTTGAGTTTTGTAGAGAGTGTAATACAAGCAAAATTGTTACAAGTTCTTCAGGAAAAAAAAATATTTCAATATATTTTTTCAGTATCTTTATCAAAAAATGACACAAACTTCACAAATTTCAACATAATACATATAAATTATAACTGCATTTTAATCTTAATATTATTTATACCGTACCTTTAGGCACAGGCATACACTAGTCTAGTACAAGACACAAGTTTTAATTTTATACAAAGATGATACAACAGTTTAAAAATAATGAGACAAATGATTGAGACATGAAAATATGATAGAGGATCTCGAGTCTTTTAGAAAGTATGAGCTTTATAATTCCAAAAGATGGTAATCTAGTTCCCCCAAAATATTAGAATTTAGGTGATGAGATCCCATACTATTTGTTGTTACTGGGAGTTTCTATTTGCGCACAAAGAAAAAAAAAAAAGTAAGTTGGGCATCTCATTACTTTGAGCACCTTGATAAAAAAATTTGAAATTTTATTTACTATTTGTTTGGACGTCTCAAGTAATACCTGTTCTAATCTTTAAAATTCTAAAATCCTATACAAATCTATTTTGTGCATCCATTACCAATAAACAGAGGAACAAAAATCACATTTGGGGTCTCTGGAATTTCAAGCGATGAAGAGGGATTCCGAGACAAAGAGGATTTCTGCTCCTCTACACAATCTATTCATCCGAGTCATTTTGTTCATCACGAGAATTTGAGATTTGAACAATGTAATCCATTAACATACATATTGAATTTATTGTTTATATCGTTTTGTTTGTTTGTTGTGTTTTTCTTATTTTCCTCATATTTTGTAATTTTTATTAGTTTACCAAAACAATATTTTGATTTTACTTATTGATCATGACAGGTTGATGGTTCTAGTTGTTTCATATGGATATTTAGTACCAAATAAAATATATTTGTCTGGATACTTAATTCCAAACATGTGAAGTTTGTTTAGATACTCAGGTTTGAACCATAGAAAATTGGTTCAAATTCTTTCATATGAACATTCAGTGTCAAACAAAGTATATTTGTCCAAATACTTAATTCCAAACATGTAAAGTTTGTTCGGATACTCAGTACCAAATCAATTTAGAAAACAAACATATGAAAAACGACGAATAATAATTAAAAACTTAGGTTGCATTTGGTAGAATTTTAGAATTATTATTTGAGAATAGAGTAGTATTTTGAGTTTGTGAGTTTTGGAATTATGATTTGAAAAGAGAAAGTTTGTTTGGTTATGAGTTTTGAAAAGATTTTTGAATTAAGTTCTGAATTTTTGATGTAACATATGAATTGAGAAAATTTGTTTGATTATGAGTTTTGAAAAGAGTTTTCAGAACTTAATTCAAAAAGTTATAACTCATAACCAAACGCACAACTCAAAACTCTATTGCAAATTTTGTTCAAAACTCATAACCAAACTCTTTTTAACATTCAATTCAAAAAAACAAGTTGTCATTTTGGTGTAAAAAAAATATATTCTATATTTAAAAAATATCAAAAACAAATTTATTTTTTTTTCCCAAACAGTAGGTGGCGATTGGCAATTGCAAAAATAAAATAAAATAAAATAAAATTTGCACTGTTTCAGTCAACCAGCCAGTCAATCGGCCGGATGTCCGCGGGGACATTCGGGAGGATGACCGGGTAGACTGTCATTTTGGTGTAAAAAAAATATATTCTATATTTAAAAAATATCAAAAACAAATTTATTTTTTTTTCCCAAACAGTAGGTGGCGATTGGCAATTGCAAAAATAAAATAAAATAAAATAAAATTTGCACTGTTTCAGTCAACCAGCTAGTCAATCAGCCGGATGTCCGCGGGGACATTCGGGAGGATGACCGGGTAGACACAAAATTCAGAAACTCTCCTGTTTTTGAGAATGGAGAAGACAAAAGAGAGATATGCCAAACATGAAAGAAAAATATATTTTGAAATGTGTGGTAGAATCACATTTTCAAAACTCTATTCGAACGGATGGTGCAAATGGAGGGGTGAAATTATTATTTGAGAGTTTCACCAAACACAGCCTTACTTTCTCTATAGAAAATTACTTGGAAATATTTTCTTTATTATCCATTATTAATTTCAATATAAAATAAAATGCAAGAATGACGGATTAAAACAAATAGGGTTGGGTATGAAGATGTAAAGTGTTGAAAGTAGGAAGATAAAAGAGAAAAAAGAATATTGGGACGGATGATGAATGAGATGTCCAAAATATTTTTATTTACACTTTTTCTAAAGTCAAGTACTTTTTGATTATTTTAAATAGGGACATAGTAATAATAAAAAAAATATCACTAAATTAGGAAACCTATTTTTTAGAGGTGCAAATAGAAGCTCATGTTGTTATTATATATAAATAGCAGAATTTCCTCTTATATATTGATGAGTTTTTCAAATTTTCATACATTTAGGAATATCCAACCAGTGCAAAACAATTCTGAACAATTAATGTTAAATCTAGCACAATAAAGTGGGTTTGGTTTCATTTTTTCTGAATTTAGTTTTTTAAAAATTAAATTTTTTATTTTTTGTATTTTTTTTTTGTTTTTAGTGAATAATTTTAAAATTTTATAAGTAATTTTTTTACTTTTTAAGATGTACCTTACTTAGATGTATCTAAATAGTAAAATATTTGTGAAAAAATATTTTAAAAAATTAATAAATACACAAAAATATAAAAAATGTACTAAATTTATATATATATATTTGATATTTAGTGAACTTTTTTAATTTTTTTTTTACAAATAATATATTTTTTAAGTGTATTTATGTTAGGTGTATCTAAAAATTAAAAATATTACTTAAAATATTTAAAAAGTCATTGAAAACAAAAAAATATGAAGAATAAAAAAATAAAATTTTCTGAAAAATATTTTCGGAAAACCAAAACCAAACCAGCTTAATTAGTGATCCTATAAATGTTTTGAAAGATAGGGGTCAAAGTTAAATAAGGCCTGACCGGGAGGTCCAAGAAGTAAATAATTATTTTTAAGCACGATAAAAACCTAGCAGTGATCACTGATCAGAGTCAGAGATTGAGGGTTTAAGCGGTTGTGAGAGAGAGAGAGAGAGAGAGAGAGAGGGAGAGAGAGAGATGGGGAATCCAAAGCAGAAATGGACATCGGAGGAAGAAGAAGCGCTTCGTGCAGGTGTCGCAAAGCATGGCACTGGTAAGTGGAAGAACATCCAGAAAGATCCTGAATTCAACCACTTCCTCTACTCTCGCTCCAACATTGATCTCAAGGTCCCAACTTCTCTCTCTCTCTCTATATATATATACATATATAAGACCATGTACTTATTTATATGTTTATGTGATTTATGGCCTCAATGTCGACGAAAGTTACATGCTTTGGAACACTGGTATGATAAATTACGTGGTTGATATGATAAATAAAATAAAAAAAGCTAGGAACCCAGATATAGGAACCCGTAATTTACCCAGAATCAGTTTGTGGTGGGGATTCAATTGATGAAGTGTGGGGTTTACAAGTAAAATGAATTTGAACCATTTTCAATTTCTGGGTAATTAATTCTGGGTTTGTAGTCTTGCTCATATGAATAGGGAACACCTATTCGTGGGTTGCATCGAGTGGATATATTTGAGTAAGGGAAATGATAACGACTGCCCTGAGCATTGATTAGTATTAGGATTGGGGTAAAAATTGTTTTGAAAATATGTAAAAAGTAAAAACAATTCACATATTCATACCATAGATTCAACACCAATCCCGGCACCCTAAGACTAATTTTTATCTATTATGGATATACAATTTATTTATTTTAACTTTTAAAAAAAAAATTCAATTATCAATATTTCAATTTGAATACTATTTCAATATCATATTTGTCATTACAAAAAATCATTGTTACATTTGAGCCCATAAAGCTATCGCCTATAAGAGTTAGAACTAAAAATGGAAGGGGTATAGGGGTTTTTTGGAAAAAATAAAAGGAAATAGGCTACAAAAATTAACATAAAATTAAGGGGCATATATATATAATTTAAGGATTTATCTGGGGCAACTGCTCCTCTCTAGGAAGCACGGATACAGATACGGGATACGAATACGATACGATACGGATACGGCGATACGACAAAATTTGAAAAACTAGGATACGGGTACGGCGGGGATACGTTCGTAAAAAATATTATTTTAACAATTTTTAGTAATGCAGTATGCATAAAAATAAAACCTAAAGCAAAAGACAACTTGATAAAGAAGAAAGATTCCTATAAAACTAAGAGTCTTCAAGGTCAATAGCTTCAACTTGTTCCCCTTCATCAGTGAATATCACAAGACCTTAGCTAAAGCCAAAAAACCATTCTTAAATAAAAATTTCAGCAAATATACTTTTTTAAGTCATCAGTGATAGCCTAGGAAGCACGGATACGGATATGGTGATATGGGGATGTGGATATGGCGATATGTCAAAACTTGAAAAAGTATGATACGGGTACAACGGGGATACATTTGTAAAAAAAAAATTTATAATTTATAATTTCAAACATTCATAAAACATCCAAAATTAAAAGAAAAACAAATGCAAATTAAACATCATCCTTACATGCCAACATCAAAAAAAGAATGAGAGCAGAGAGGAGAAACGTGAGAGAGTGAGAAAGCGAGAGAGAAGTGAGAGAGACAACAAGGATACATCGATTTGACAAATTCTATTACTTTAACTCTCACTATATTCCTTTTATCAAAGAACTAAACAAAATATTATAAGTAATATGTAATTTCGAATATCCGATACTTCAAAATTAAGTATCCGATACTTCAAAATTAATAAAAAATTAATTAAGAAGTATCCGATACTTTTAAGAAGTATCCAATACGTATCCGCGAGTATCCGAGGAGTATCGGTATCCGATAAGTATCCGATACGGATACGTCACCGTTTTTGAAGTATCCGTGCTTCATAGGCTCCTCTTGGGCCTGTAGTGGCTCCGCTAGTGTGCATTGATGAATGCAGATTTTGAGAGCAACGTTTGAAGATTACTCAATCGGCCAAGACATTTGAGCACCTTGTCTTTTGTGCTTGTAAGAAAAATTCGTAGATGCTCTCAGTGTTGTGAAAGGCGTGCCTAGTGCCACGGCCTTGGATTTTCCAAGCCAACCATGCAGCCTTAGATGTTTATCAACCCACTTGGTTGCACCTAAGTCAGCCTTCTCCACTCGACCACACTAACTAAAACACAAAGTTTAGGTGGAAGAATGTATTCACTATACAAGTATAGTTGTGTACAAAGTTTTACAAGGCTCTCACTCTCACAAGTGCTTTACTCTTAGAGCTCTCTTGGATCTCTTCTCTTCTTCTCTATGCCCTACAAATGAGACCCCTCCCCTTATATAGCCATCTACCTCCTCAATGGATGGCTAGGATTATTTTGGTCAAAGGGCTACAAGCTTTCTTCTAGAACTCTCCATAGAAATATTTAGGACAACTACCCTTCTACTACCTTCTAGAATTCTCTATACTAGTGTAGTACATGGTAGGCTTCTCCATGATATTCTAGAATGTTCCAGACCCATCCAGATTCTTCTGGACCCACCAAGGTTCTTTCACCATATTCCGGATTCTTTTAGGCCACTCTGGATCCTTCCACCACGATCTAGAGCCTTCCAGCATACTCTAGCTCGTTCTCACACCTTCCGGAACCTTCTTGTGCCTTCGTCACACCTCAAACGCTACTCTTTGTGTCACAGAAATTCTCGGGGCGTGACACTCTCCCCCATCCGATCTTGTGACGCTCTCGTCACGCAAAAGCATACCGAGCCACCACATCTCGATACGATCTTTGTTTGTTGTTGTTGCTGGTGCTTGCTGCTTCGTCTTTGCCCTTGCCATGCTGCTTAGTCTGCTGCATTGCCCCAAGTGTCTTCTTGTCTTGGAGTAGCTGACTCCTAGCCACCAACGGGACCTCACATGGTCGATCACCTGCAAACAACAACATGGTTGCAACATGCAAAACTGGCATCACATTGTTCTTTCTTATGAAATCCATCCCTAGGATTATGGAGTGGTCATCCATCTCAATGACCGAGAACTCCACCTGTCTAGTCCAACTCCCAATGGTCATGTCAGCACTCCTCACTACACCTTGGATTGGCTTGGCCTTCGCGTTCACGGGCTTGGACCAACCCTTGTCCTCTTTCATTTTCAAGCCCAGCCTCTTAGCCTCTTCGGTGCTCACAAAGTTATGAGTGGCACCTGTATCTACCAAAGCATGTGAAGTTATCCCATTAAGTTTCACCTCCACGTAAAGCACATCCTTCTTCTAGATGCTCCTCGGCTCTTGTATCTTCTCATTCTTCTTGGATATTGACCCAAGAAGTTGGATGCTCCCGAGTTGTGCTTCCTTCTCTAAAGGGCTTTCACTATCAGAGCCTTTCGTCTCTTTCTTTTTCATGGCACTAAACGCCTTCTTCTTTGGGTAGTTCCTCACCATGCGCGGTCCATTGCACAGGAAACACTCAAGCCGCCCTTGCGTTGCCCATTCTTTTGTCGCTCCCGTCTCTTTTGGGAGTCTTCATCACTGTGCTCATCATCAGTGGTTTGTGGAGATTGTCTCCCTCCTTTGGTATGAGTCTCTCTTGCGCCTTTGGGTTTCCCTAGTGCTTTGAAGTCATCCAACTTCTCTGCCTTCGCTAGGGCTGTTGCAAGGTCTTTTACTCCCTGACTCTACAACTCTCTTGCTACCCCAAGCTGCAAACCATCTAGGAAGCCATACAATGCCTCTTTTTTTGCCATGTCGGGGATTTCCAATAGTAGTGCGGAATATTTCTTCACGTAGTCCCGCAATGACCCCTCATGCTTTAGCTTGCGCAGCTTCTTGTACGCCTAGAATTCGACATTGACAGGGTAGAAGTGCTTCTTCAATTCTCTCTTGAGCTTCGCCCAAGTCTCTATCTTGCACAACCCCTTCTCCATGTCGGCATACCGCCTCCTCCACCACAACATTGCGGTGTCCTTCAAATACAAGGTAGCGGTCTGCACCTTCTCGTCTTCATCTACAATGTTGACGTTCTCAAAATACCGCTCCATGTTTCAAATGAAATTGTCAATCTCTCGGGCATCCCTCGCACCATCATAGCTTTTAGGTTCTATCGCACGAACCTTCCGCTTTGTTGGAGCCAAATTTCCGCCATTGCCAGCGACTATGGCCTTCTTGCACAACTCTAACTCCAATTCTAAGCTAGCCACTCTTGCTTCCAGGGCCTTCTGTTAGGCGGGACTGTCTCATCTCTAGCTGCCTAAGAGAGAGACGAGTTCACCCTTTCTTCGAAGGAGTCAACCTTTTCCTCCAACTCTTCTACCCTAGCAACAGGACTAGCAAAGTAAGAGAAAAATTCTCTTATATGGGATGTGGGCTTACCAGGGCCAACTAAAGCTTCCTCCAGTCTAGTGAGCCGCTCTGCCACATTCTTCATCATCCCATCGAGTCGTGCCTCCAACGCTGCTATCGAGTCCTTTGTTGAGGGCTTCTTCACCTTGGGGACGTTAGCACCTTCGTCGCCAGACGTAGCCATGTACACATCCCTTGGTTACTTTCTCACGTAACCTCGCTCTAATACCAACTGTTACGGCCTTGGATTTTCCAAGCCAACCATGCGGCCTTAGATGCATATCAACCCACTTGGTTACACCTAAGTCAGCCTTCCACACTCGACCATACTAACTAAAACACAAAGTTTAGGTGGAAGAATGTATTCACTATACAAGTATAGTTGTGTACAAAGCTTTACAAGGCTCTCACCCTCACAAGTACTTTACTCTTAGAGCTCTCTTAGATCTCCTCTCTTCTTCTCCATGCCCTACAAATGAGACCCCTCCCCTTATATAGCCATCTACCTCCTCAATGGATAGTTAGGATCATTTTGATCCAAGGGCTACATACTTTCCTCTAAAACCCTTCATAGAAATATCTAGGACAACTACCCTTCTACTACCTTCTAGAATTCTCTATACTAGTATAGTATATGGTAGGCTTCTCCATGATATTCTAGGATGTTTCAGACCCTTCCAGACTCTTCTGGACCCTCCAAGGTTCTTCCATCATATTCCAGATTCTTTTAGGCCACTTCAGACCCTTCCACCACAATCTAGAGCCTTCCAGCATACTCTAGCTCATTCTCACACCTTCCAGAACCTTCCAGCGCCTTTGCCACACCTCAAACGCTGCTCTATGTGTCACAGAAATTCTCAGGGCGTGACACTAGGCACAAGGCGCAGCGAGGCGCAAGCAGTGCGCCGGAAGGGACTCAAGGCAAGGCACGTTTAATAAGTAGTGCGCCTTGGCCATGCGTTAAAATGCGCGAGCCTAAGAGGACTTTTTTTTGTTGCTTATGATTCTGATCTAACGGCTCTGATATATGTTCGAAAGGCTCCAACCACATAGGATTACAACTCATACAATGCAACTCAACCCAAATCTGTCGACTCAAGTCCCTAATCTATCGAAGAAATCTATGTCGTCTCTTGCTCTAGGCTCGTCTCTCTCGACTTTGACTTTGATTGAGGTAAGTTCTTCTTCTTCTCCTTCTCCTCCTCCTCCTCCTCCTCCTCCTCTTCTTCGTTGGTTGTTGGGTATTCGATTCTTCTTCTTCGTTGGTTGCTGGGTATTCGATTCGACCTTATTTTTTTTTCTTCTTCCCCTTCTTTGAGTTGCTATATGTATATATATATATAATTTTTTTTTTCTTCTTCGTTGGTTGCTCTCTATTTTTTTTGCTTCTTCGACTTCAACTCTTTCTCTCTCTTCCTCTTCGTCTTCTTCTTCTGCTTCTTCTTTGCTCTCTGTTTTTTTCTTTTTCCTACTTCAACTCAATTTCTTGCTCTTTGTTTTTTTTTCCCCCCCTGCTTCTTCTTTGCTCTCTGTTCTTCTTTTTCTTTTTCTTCTCTTTTACATGGAATAATTCAAAAATGAGAATAGTAGTAGTTTGCGAAAATGAGAATAGTAGTTGTTTTCTTTTTCTTCTTCTTCTCCTTCGCTGTTTTTTTTTGGCTTCTCTTCCATACTTGTCTTTGTTTTTTTTTTTTTTTTTATTTTTTTAATTTTTTGCAATTATATGTCTTTTGTTTGCAATTATATGTCTTTGTTTATTATTATTATTATTATTATTTTTAAAATTGTCTTAGTACTAGAATGAATCATTAGTTTATGTTAATTTATCTATTTTTTACTAAGACTGTGCGCCTTGCTTTAATAAAGCCCGCACCTCGCCAAAGACCTCCGGCACCTTGGTGCGCCTTGAGCCTTTAAAAACACTGAATGCTCTCAAATCTCACCCATAATGTGTTGAGCAAGTTGTCAGATTTCTGAACCCAGCATGACCTAGTTTTGGTGAAACCATAAATAGAACTAGTGTTCTTTTAGTATATAGACGTAAAGTTTGCCTAAACTGTCCTAGCCTCTCTAGAGCCCTTGTATGCTTAGGAGACCCTTGAATACTTCGGAGATGTAGTCTACATATATTCAGAGAAGAAGGCATGTTCTGAAATATGCATTGAACTTTTTTTTGGGTACATTGGAGGTTTTCACCTGCTCGGAGGAGGAGACTTGAATCCTGGACATCCTATTAAGGTTCGATATGAACATAGCCCTTCAAATCACATTCATTGTGCATTGGTTATTCATGTCAATTGACCAATTGTGGTCAAGGCTTCAAGGAAATCTAGACAAGAGAGGGCTAATAGGCGTCTTAGAGCCACTTGAGAGTGGATTTTGAGCTTGCACGCTTCAAGGTGAAGATGTTAAGGCTAACACATTAGAAGGACTACATAATTCATTTTATTTTGGTTATTTGGCATTTGATATATCAGTATTTTAGTCTTTAGAATTAATTAGTGCAAACTTTGTAATTAAGTTTTGAGGGTTAATACCAAATGAGTCTCTCTCCCATATTTTGGATTTTCTAACAAGTTTTGTATGTAAACTCTTGGTTAGTGGATTGTTTGATCCAACAGAAGTGCTCATGTTTTTTTAACATGTTGGGAGTGTCTCTCCTTTAGTTATCCCCCCCCCGCCCCCCCCCCCCCAAAACCATTATAGTTGTGCTGTTTATTCTTATGTTATTTACTGCGATATTATGCGTGGATGTCATATGATTGATATGATTAATTGATTTAATAATACACAGTTTAATTTTTAATCGGTAACTTTATTAAGAGCTTGGCTATTCAACCCTCCTTCTAGGCACAAACAAACTCTCGACCTCTGTTTTTTTGTAAAAATAAAATGAAATGCAGATGTCCATAGACTGCATGAAAGAATCATAGAATTAACATAATTTCTAGGTTTGTTCAATTAAATATATTTTGTATGTTGTTGTTTGCCTTACACAGGACAAATGGCGAAATATGAGTGTTAGTGCCAACAGCCAAGGTTCTAGGGAAAAATCACGGACAACAAAAGCAAAGGCCAACCCAGATGCGCCTGCTACTCCATTGCCCAATGCACCGACTTCTACTTCCATCACTCCTGCTGCAAATGGTGCATCAGCAGATGCAGTCATGGATGATTCTTCAAAATGCTTATTGGACGGGAAAACTGCTTCAAAGTAGGCAACCTTTTCTTCTCTGCTACTAATAGATGTTTTTGGTAATTACGTGGGCTGTTTCATAAGATTAAGTCATTTGTTTCCAGTAGATGAATATCTCATATTTTGCTTAATGTCAAAGAATGAGGAAATATGGATAGGAACATTGTTGGCAAAGCTTTATGATGGCACAGCCAGTTGAGAAGTGAAAGGAAAAGATGTCCAAATAATGTATGGAAGCCTATGGTTTTGTCTGAACTGATTAATAGACAAGAAGTGGCTGTTTTATGATCTTATATAAAATGGTCTAATCCTTGATGCATTACAGACAGCATTTTATTGATTTAGTAGCAATTATCTGAAACATTTGTGCACAACATGATCATGGAATCAAATTGTTTGTTAATTGCTCACCTATGCACCCATGCTGTTTCCTTTTCCATTGCAAAATTCTGTGGTACATAGAGTTTATTCTGTAAGAATCTAAATGAAAATCAGTAGCATGGTTGAATGTAAAGTGGTAAATGGGGCATGATTGGATGGTCATTGGGAAGTGAGCTTATGTATTTTGCAGATGCAGAAATGTAGCCTATTGGTAGCAAACAGAATATTAATTTACACTTAACTGATTAATGTTGTCTAGAACCACTTTTTGGATGGGCTAAGACATCAATTTATTATTATGGTTTTACAGGTTGTTGAGATACATGGAAATAACCTCTCCACATGTGGGAGTAGGGCTGTGACCCTTCCAGACCCCGCAGCAGTGGGAACCTTATGCTATGGGTCTGATTAGTTTTGTTGAGAGTATAACACCTTGTGGGTGGTTTTGGGGCTAGAATAGGTCAGGTTTAATGAAATTAAGCTGCTAGAGTGCAAAATGGTAAAGGAACGTAGTTGAGTTGTGTAACTTAACTTTTGAGAGCTTTTATATGGAAAATAATGTCGAGGTAACTTCTGGTCTTAAAATTGTATTAATTTAATACTTTTGTGTAACTACCTGTTTTGTTAAGCTAAGAAGCACATATACTTCTAAGGTGTCATGCCCGTGTGTCAAGCATGCATTGGACATCGACACTTGTTAGAAACATGTGGATGCACGTTCAAACATGTCCTATTATTTTCTTAGACGTGAACACACTTCATACTCTTGAGAAACATGTGTTCATCATTTAGACACATGAAATACATTACAAGTCAAAGAAAATATATTCAGATCTAATTATAAGGAAAAATAATGTAGATATATATGAATCCTGTCTACTTTAGACTTTAAGAATTAGTGTTATATTTAATGAAATATTGTAAATATGACATATAATAAATATATGGATCTATATCTTTTGCGTGTGTCCTCATGTTGCGTCTTGCATTTTTTAAAAGTTGTCATGTCAGCATGTCTGTGTCTTGTTGCGTGCCTATGTTTGTGCTTCTTAGTTGTTATGTGTTCAGCACTGTAATCAATGATTTTTTAAAATCTTTTCTGTTCCTTTATTATTTCTGCTCTCTTTTTTCTTTTTCTTTTTTCGTGATGCTTGACATTATTGCTTTATTGTCAGGTACAATGCCATGATTTATGAAGCACTTTCAACACTGAAGGACCCAAATGGATCTGATACTAGTGCAATAGTCAGTTTTATTGAGGTCAGATTGAAGTGTGTTTTCATTTTTATTTTCTTTCTTTGTGTTTCATTCAATGGTTCACGTTGTAGTAAGCTATATGTTCAGTTTTGATGAAATCACTTCATAATTCTTTATATGCTGAAATTATATGTATGATATGGCAATAGGAGATGAACAGCCATGGAGGGAAGTAATATCTGACGTTGAATGATATCACTTTGTCAAAACTAATTTACACTTTTGTCTCTTTATTCTTGTTTCAATCAACATTTCAACCAAAATCTGATCTTATTATCTTTTTTAGTGAACTAAAATAAAAATTAAGCAAACCCTGTTTTTATTATTGTGTTGGAATTTTTTGAGAAAGGGTAGACACCACTAGGTTTTTGTAGTTTTCTGCTATCTCAAGTTGGCAGACTTGGCGGATGATTTTCTTGCCAAATTACGCACCTTGCACTCGAGGGATTTTTTGGGCAAAGAGATGTTGCTTACGATTATGGTTCTTCTTTGCCCTTTTCATTTCATTTGTTTTTAGTTGTTCTTTCTTGAAAAGATTTTTTTTTTACTGAGTAGTGATAGTATATTACCCTAACAAAGGTATCCTCAGTGCGTGTTGGACGTTCCTGTTAACAGATGGTGGCTAATTCAGAAGTTGTATGAGACTGTTAGAACTAAAAATAAGTCTGAGATGTGATTTTTACTGAGCCAACCAAAAGTTTATTTTTGCCGCTTCAGAAAATTTGTTAAGGTCCCCCCCTTCTAATGTCAGGTCTTCCTGATGACCATATTTGGAGTTGTTAAGCTGTTAATTATGGACAGTTTTTAATTTGTGTGGTAGACATTCTTATTATATTGTTATACTATATTATTCGCGAGGTCATTCTTTTCAAACCTTTTTTTTTTGGTGGTATGTAATTGGTCAGTAGGAGTTGTTTTGTTCAAGAAGTTACTTGCTTAAATGAAATTCATATAGTGAATGGACTTTGTTAATTTAATTGTATAACTTGGAATCCAATTGGCGAATATTTTCTTTCTGATGGGCTATGGATCTCTGGCTACTCATGCTACTTCTTTGTCCTACTATTTCGTCATTTGCCATGGTTTTCCATTTTTTTGAATCTGATGAGTGTATTGTTTTTTGTAATATATGCAGCAAAGACATGAGGTGCCCCAGAACTTTAGGAGGTTGTTAAGTTCTAGATTAAGAAGGCTTGTTGCACAAGACAAACTTGAAAAGGTGAGTGGATTATCTTTTAGTTAAGTTAATAGCCTTTTCATCATCATCTACTTTTTGCTAAATTGCTGAATTTGTTTTATTTAAATATCCAGTGACTAGATTGCTTGCTTTTGATTTCAATGTGTCTCAGTTGTGGATTGCTGTTTTAAAACTTGTGGTAGTGCCTAATGATGTTGCAAACCTTGCATTTTTTCCCTTTAGAAGGGAATTTTTTTGTGATCAACTAATTTAATTGCTTCAGTTCTTGGCTGCCTAGCATTATGGAGTTGCTTGCAGTTCTCTGTTTTTTTTTTTTTAAATTGTCTGTTTACCTAAGTTTGCAGGGTGGCTATTGGACCTTTCACCTTTACCTTTGGGAAAACCCTCCAAAGATATTTGGGTTATCTAGTGGTTCTTGCTGCTTTGTTATTATGGGAAATTTTATAAACATTAGTGGAGCAATGAAAGAGAAGAAGAATAATCCCTTGTAATATCACAATAATCAAAATTTACATGCACATATATATATATATATATATATCAAGAACTAAACTAATTAGGAAACAAATACATTCAAATACTAAACTACCTTATACTAAACAAATACTATGAGCACAGACTTTTGTGCCTCGATTTGATTTGAGGTGACTATAGGTTTATGTTTGTTGAGATGTGGCATTTTTTGGCCATTGAATAGAAGACTTGTTAATGATATGTTTTTCAACAGAAATGAAACTATTATTAGCAACACTGGAAAGTTTAACACAGTTGCAGCATAACGTACAAGGGAGGCCCTAAAAAAGGAGGGGTCTGTGGATAAATCTGAGTAGACTTCAAAAGAACTTGTTGCATGTTTAGCCAAAAGGTCTGCGTGTTAATGATATTTACCTTTCATAATTCATTAAAATACAAATAAATTGGTGAGTTGTTGTCTTTTGGACCAACTTGAATTAGAGAACTTATCCATTCTAAAGTAACATACTTCCAGTTCTACACTAACAAATTCTGTAAAAAAATATAAGGGAAAATTACAAGATATAAAGGTTTGACCCTTGGCACAAATTAAACTCAGGGTTTTTAATCTCTTCAACTTAAACCTTGCATTTTTAAATTGATACCAATCACCATCATCCAACCAATTCTGTTTACTGAAACTAATGGAGAAGGGATACTTTAGTCTTTTTACCCATCACCTTATGATTAATTTTGTCAATTTACCCATTTTTTCTTTTCTCACTGCACATACAACACACACACCCCCACCACCACCACTGTGCCGCCACCACCTGTGCATTGCCAGCCTGCCACCACCAACACCACCCCTCCCTCCTTTTCTCACTGCACATACAACACACACACCCCCACCACCACCACTGTGCCACCACCACTGCTGACCCCCTTCCCTAGCCACCGCCGACCCCCTTCCCTAGCCACCGCCAGACCCTTTGCTCCACCACTACCATTACCCTCCACCTTCACTGCCACTCCCATCACCCTTGCTCCACGACTGCAAAAATGGCACAAAAATCACTTGATGTGTCAAACACAAACGAGAAGGGGAAGCGGCTAGTTCTGTGTCTTCATTTTAGCCCAATGGAGGTGGAGGTGGAGGTGGTGTGAGTGAGCCAATAGTTGTAGGGGTGGGGGAAGGGTTGATCTAGTTTAGTTAGGTGTACGGTAGAATTGACATGGGTGGTTAGGATGCTTGATAAAAGGTGATTTTGATTTAATATGGTTGAGATAGAATTGGGATTTACCTCAAATTGAAACAGTGAATGAGAGCATGCTATGATATTGTAAAAAAATTCCTCTGTTAGTGCTTTTAAACAAAGATGGATAGATGGTATGAATTTTGACCAATTTAGAAGTTCAAGGTTGAAGTTAAAGAAATTAAAAGCCCTGGATAATTTTTTTTAAGTGTCAAACTCTTGAGTGTGTTTTTCCCCCCAAAATATTATATGTGATCAAGGTTTACCCCGTATTGGGTGGTGAAACAATGAGAAACAGGACTATTGATGCTATGAATGTTTAGATTATCTCCCCAGTTAAGATTCAAAGCATTGTCTATAGATGATTTACAGATAGTGGTGAATTTCGATACATGAACTTAGAAACCCCAGGTACTGTCTATGAGTTTTTCCTAACAATTATGCATCTAAAGGACATTTCTTTGCAGAATAAGGTATCTGTAGTTTGGTTCTAGTACTTGTATTGGTGTTTGCTGTAAATTATACCTTCTTGATTTTCCATTTAACTAGGAAGAGAAATATGCATCAGCCTATGGGAAGAATATCCTGCTGTGAAATGTCCCAGGTGATTGATTACAAACTTAAGCAATGCCTTGAAATTGCCTGGGGTTGGCTGCATGGTATTGTTTTCAGTTTTATGTTGGGCAACTAAGAAACAAACATTCATAACATGAATGTAGCTGAGATGAGAATGCTTGGATTGATGTGAGGTAAAACTAAGAAATATAGAGTTAGAAATGAATATATTCATGAAATAATGAGTAGCACCAATTAAAAGATGGTTTGGTCATGTAAAACTAGTCCTATAAATGCAACGGTAAGAAAGAGTGATGTGATCACTATAAATAGAAATCTTAGGGGAGAGGGGAAGATCTAAATGGACATGGGATGCAGTAGTAAAAGAAATATGAATTTATTTAATTTAAGTAAGCATGTAGCCATTGACATAGCATAATGTCGAAAAAGGATTCACAAACTCCCTCCGCCCTCCATTTTTCACTGTCCTAAAATATTAGTCTATTTTCAAAAATCAATGACTAAAATAATATGTATTTCCTATTTTGCCTTTCTTTTAAATTCATTAACAACACAAAAAGTACAATTATGACGATTGATATTCCCAAAAAAAAGTACTATCAAGGGTAACTTCGGAAAATTAATATTTTTAAACTGCTATAATTATACTACCAAAAAAAAAGTTGGATTTCCCAAAAGTGAATATTATTTTGGGACGGAGGGAGTAGTCGATTTCACTTGATTGGAATGCAAGGCTTAGTTTGGTCAGATCTCCTTCAATTTGCAAATCATGTTTTCCTTGCTCATTTTCAACCTGACACCTATATAGCTTCCCTCATCTTTGTAGCACCTTGAAGCAAGTCACTCCATTTTATTTATGCAATCGTAGCTTTTCATTGAACACTGCCGATTCATCTCATCCTGGTTTCTATCACCTTTTTTTGGATGCATTATCTAGTTAGAGCAAGCATGAACGCCCTTATTGATCAGCTGCTAGAAGTGCTGGTGGCTCTTCTGGGTACTTGCTGTTTCATTCTTTAAAGACCGTCCTCTTGACAGTCTTCACTTCATTATGGGGTTGCATCATATTATTGGTATTTGATATGATGGCAGACCATATGGCATTGGATGGACAATCGTCTTCATGTGTGGTGACTTTTCCTTTTATTTTTTCTGTTGTATTGTTTAATATATTAATAACCTAAGAAGCACGGACATTTATAAGGTGGGGTGTCTGTGTTGGACACCAACACTCCTCGGATGCCTCTTGACATGTGTCATACACTCATACAAACGTGTTCTATGTTATTTTTTTTTAGACTCTGCCACTCTTTGGACATTTGAAAGACACGTGCCTATATGAAACTAATTATAAGTTAATAAAAAATAACTTAGGATACACTGATAAATGAAAAACAATGTAAATCTATAGGATTTAACGTTAATGTTAATTATATGACATATAATCAAATATAAAACTAAATATTTTTTGTGTCCCTGATGTGTTGTCTCATGGATTTTTTAAAGACTGTCGTGTCGACATGTCAGTGTTGTGTTGTGTGGTGTGTTTGTGGTTCTTAGTGATTAACAAAATAAGATACTCCTTCCTATTGTGCTCCTAGTTTGTCAAATTCTATTAAATCCAGCTTGTGTATCACCGCTGTGGTTTTTGACCAATGTTGTCCTGTCTTTTGTTAAAATAAAAGCAAGTTAAGGTTGGAGTCAGAATAATAGCTCATTTTGATTGCCAAAGCAGAAAATGAAATACCAAAGCAGCGAAAATGAAGCTAAGCAATACTCTTAATCCAACAAAGCTGTCCCTATCTGAAATATTTAGGTTGGAATCAGAATAATAGCTCACTTTGATTGCCTTATCATCGAAATGCAGGTCCAAAACTGCTACAAGATAAAGAGGGATGTCTTGGTTGTGGCAAAAACACCGACCCCAAAACCGAAGGACACCATCCGGCCAAGGCAGTCCCAAACAACTGGTTATCTTGGAGACACAGTAGAAGAAGCGGCAGTGGGGGCCGCTTACAAAGTCGCAGAAGCGGAAAACAAATCTTTTGTAGCCGCTGAAGCCGTTAAGGAGGCAGAAAGGGTTTCAAGAATGGCTGAAGACACAGATTCACTGCTCCAGTTGGCGAAAGAGATCTTTGAGAAATGTAATAGTGAAAATGTCCTATGTCCTATGTGCTTGTTTGGTTTGTGTTTGTGTTTGTGTTTGTGTTTGTGTTTTTGTTTTTGTTGTCTATTTTTTGGAAAACACATAATCTGTTTGGTGAACAATTTATAAAATTGCTTTAGGAGAAACCCCAAAAAATTGTTTTCGCACAACAATGAAAATGGGTATTTTCAAAATTTTCGTTACTTTTGTTCTTGAAAACTTGAAAAATGAAAATAGGAAAAACAAAAACACAACCAAACAAGCTATTTCTTTTCCTGTTCTTTTCCCGTCTATAGTATACATGTTCTCATTCTCTTCCTTGGCAGGTTCGCGTGGTGAAATTGTGTTGATGGCATGAAGAAAGTTGTCTTAAATGGAAAAGACCCTTTGCCGGGAATTTGTAAATTGTCAAGTTTTTTGTCTTCTTTTTCTTCCTGTATTTTCGTCAGGTGTGTTCAAAATAACTAGACTGGTTATGTGATAATAATCAATTTATCCATAAGTTTTTTAATGCATCTGTGTTTTTTCTTTCCTTTTGTGTGTGTGTGGTTAATAGTGAAATATTGCTTTTGGAAGATGGGATAGCCTTAGGCATTTGAGAGTCTCATCTTTTTTTAGATCATCCTTGAGAGGTTTTAAAGCTCTGCACTGCAATCATGGTCATCAAAATTGCAATCCAGATTGTAGGATCATCAAAATTGCGATCTAGATTGTAGGATATTACAATACTTGAATCGTGAATTGTCAAAATAATCTATAAATCGCTGTAAAATCAGTATTGTAGTAGGATTGCAAGTAGAATCATAAAGGATTGCAGATTAGTAGAATCAATGGTTAGTGACTTTTCATCTTAATTTTAATTTGTATCATTGTCATTGGTATTTTTAACATTAATTTTTTTTTTTAAATGTATTTTACCGAATGTATAATTTTACAATACACTATCCCATTCTTAAGATTCTAATTTTAACAATCATGTCTACGAGTTAACGAGAATTTATGCTAATCATCATTGTTTTGATAGAGCTTATTTGCTCATTCGCTGCCGATGGTGAGGCTACAATTATTTGCTTGTCAATAAGAACGGTAATACGATTATTATTTTTATTATTATTATTCTTCTAGAAAATAGCAAAATATTGTTTAGTCTTTTGTTTTTGTGTTTTGAAAACAAAATTGGTTGTTTTCATAAATAATTTGCCAAACACATTTTTTATATTTTCCAAAAGTAAAAAAAAAAAAAATCAACAATGTTAGGTATTATGAAAAATCTTTCATGAAAATAATTATGAAAGTTTTATGATCCTTAGATTATACTTAGAATAAAATATCACACACTAATTAAGGTAATTCAAAAATCATAAATCTTTCATGATCTCTAACTTTTCTCAAAAAAAACAATAGTTGCTAATCAAATAGTGTAAATTATTAGTAATCCTATGCGTCTCATAAAAAAATACATGTACACAGCGTACTATTAAACCAAGATTCTCTTGGGAATATCTGTCAAGAATGGGATTAGCTTTCGATGGGCAGATGGGATTGCAATCCTATCCAATTGGATTAGAAGCGAAAACATTATTTTGTCCTCATTTTAAAAAAATAATAAAATTACCTTTTATATTTTCCTGTTCTAAAATATTAGCTTCTTTTGGAAATCTAAATTATCCTTTGATTTTTTTAGAATATCAATTTTTATAATTAATTAATTTAAAAGAAGGATAAAATAGAAAATTCATGTCATTTTAAACCTTAATTTTTGAAGAGTGACTAATATTTTGGGACAATAGAAAATGAAATTAAGAAGTAATATTTTGAGACGGATGGAGCAATTAATGTTTTTATATAATTTTATAAATTAAATTTTAACCAACCAATACTACATTAACAAACAAAATGGCATTTATATTACATCTCTAATTTAATATTATCACACTAATAATTTCATTGTTTAATCCCATCGTATATATATAGGCTGTGTTTGACATGGATTTTTTTAGTTATTTTAGTCACAAAAATACAAAATAGATTAAAAAGTCAATAAGATAAAATGTCACATTCAAACCATAATCATTTCATTTTTTCTCTAATAAAAGTTAAAAAAATCAAAAAATCCATCCTAAATTAAATTTTTTAATGGTAAACTAAAATATCCAAAAATTCCAAAAGCCAACTCACATTCTAAACGAAAGCATAATTTCTATCAACTTTATTTAGCGGTCAAATATTGCCTAATAGAATAATGTTAGACAAACTAAAAAGTTTTTCAATTTTTACATTGATTGGTTTGACACCTATTATATTATTTAAAATCTTAATTAATGATTACTTATCCAAAAAAAAAACATTAATTAATAAAATTTAAATTAATTATAAATTATTTGATACACACACAATGTATGCATAAAAATTGTAAACTTCTTTTTTATTTCTATTATTTTTAATGAAAAACCATGTCCCGTTTGGGAATTATTTACTTTACTTTTTAATTTTTACTAAAAAACATACAGAAAAGTGGAGAGTAATGTAACAATTTATAATGACTTTTTAATTATTTGACTAAAAACTAAAATCCCCAAACTATATTACACATTGGATAATGTTAGACTATTTTAATATCTTTTATTTATTTATTTATATTGTTTATGAATCTTCTTTTGTCTTATTCACGAATCTCATCTTATTCATGAATGGAGATTCATTGGTTTAGTGTCCTTTTGTCTTGTTTATGAATGGAGATTAATTATAATTCATAAACTTGGTGGTGAGTTAATATTTGGATACACTCTCCATTTTTTCTAGATTCATGGTCATTATTATTTTTTGATGTATTTTGTAATATCCTAGTAGTCTATAAATAGTTCCTCTCTTCTACTCTTTTCTACACCAACACACCAATTATTTTCTATACAAGAGAGATTACTAGTAAAGAAGGGTGTTTTTCTTGGTGGAGCTTTGGGTTCACCATCTTGTACAGAATTGGCCTGAATAATACGACAAGTGGTTGGGCTGTTGTATCCTAGAGGGGACAAGTCATAATTTTGTGACTGCTGCATCAGTATTTGAGTTCTTCTTACCACGGTAGACTTAATCTCCTTAAAAAAAAGAAATATCCGTACCTCAGCTTGATCTATTTGTATCTCATTTTCTTTGCATTATGTATCAATAAAATATATTTTTTCTAGTATTTTCACCAACATTTTTAAGGAGATCAACCATGGATCAAGTACCAGAAAAAACCAATAATAGAATTAGAGATCTCAACAAGTCTTTTAAGTTCAAGGGGGTTCATTTTAAGAGATGGAAATGAAAAGTTCTTTTTTACCTTAGTCTTTTGAAAGTTACATATGTTCTTACCGAGAAGAACCCAAACAAAATCCCAACTGAGGAGATGAATGATGAAGACTACGAAGCACATGAAGCAAAAGTGACTTTCTACAATACAGATAAGTATAAATGTCATTTTATCTCTTAAATTTCCTTACTGATTAATTTTATGATTATTACTATGACACCACTTACACTTTGTCTTCTATTAATTTTTGGCATGCTCGCTTGTGTCATATTAACAGTAAATATGTGGGAATCGTGAGTAGTTTAGAATTAATTCCTAAAGTGACAAAAAAAATTTAAGAAATGTGAAGTTTGCAATAAAGAAAAAATTACCAAGAGGCCTCATAAAAGTGTTAAAAAAATACCGAATTGCTAAAATTATTTCATACTAATTTGTGTGAGTTTGAAGGAATTTTAACTCGGGGTGGTAACCAATATTTTATCACTTTTATTGATGATTTTTCAAAATACGCAAATGTATATTTATTAAAAAATAAAAGTGATACTTTTGAGAAATTTAAAGAATTCCTTCTTGAAGTGGAAAATCAATTTGGTAAAAAGATTAAGAGAATTATAAGTGATAAAGACCGGGAGTATGAATTTCTTGGATTCAACTCTTTTGTTTAGTCATTGGGAATTATTCATGAGACTACTCCACCATATTCACCTTCATCTAATGGCGTAGCTGAAAGAAAAAATAGAACGTTAATTGACTTGACGAATGCTATGCTTATTGATTCAGGTGATCCCTCAAATCTTTGGGGCGAGACTATTTTGACAGCTTGCCATGTGATAAATAGAATGCCACACAAAAAGACTAAAATTGTATATTATGAGTTGTGGCGGGGGCATAAACCAAATTTAAGCTATTTGAGTGTTTGGGGTTGTTTAGTTTTTGTGAGGCTTGTAGATCCTAAACGACCTAAATTAGGTGAACGAGCTACCACCTGTGCTTTTCTTGGGTATGCGTTGTATAGTACAGCTTATAGATTTTTTGACATGAAAAATAATATTATTTTTGAATTAGGTGATGCTATTTTTCATGAAAATAAATTTCCTTTCAAATCTAGAAATAGTGAGGGTCAAATAATTTCTGAAAATATTTTATCCGTGCCTAACTCTTCTACTCCTTCTCAAGTTTTTTAAGAACAAGAAAATTTTCAAATCTAACGAAGAAGAAGTAAACGAGCTAGAGTTGAAAAAGATTTTAGCCCTGACTATTATCTTTACAATATGGAAGAAATTCCTCTTACGGTGCAAGAAGCTTTATCATTACCTGATACTATTTTCTGGAAAAATGCTGTAAATGGTGAGATAGATTCACCACTTTAAAATAAAACATGAAAGCTAGTAGATTTACCTCCAGGTTGTAAAACTATTGGGTGTAAATGGATCCTTCGTAAAAAACTTAAACCGGATAGAGCTATAGATAAATACAAAGCGAGGCTTGTCGCTAAAGGTTTTAAGCAACAAGTTGATCTTGATTTCTTTGATACTTTTTCTCCGGTTACTAGAATTACATCCATTAGACTGTTGATAGTAGTGGCTGCAATTCATGATTTAAAAATTTATCAAATGGATGTGAAAACAACATTTTTAAATGGAGATCTAGATAAGGAGATTTACTTGGACCAACTCGAAGGCTTTATAGAGCCTGGCCAAGAAAGCAAGGTGTGTAAGCTAACTAAATCCCTTTATGGTTTAAAACAAGCTCCTAAACAGTAGCATGGAAAATTTGATTCATGCATGCTTGAGAATGGCTATAAGACTCATGAATATGATAAGTGCATATATTATAAAACTTGTGAGAATGCACATGTGATTATTAGCTTATATGTAGATGATCTACTTATCTTTGGCTCTAATTTGCATATTATAAATGAGAAATATGTATCCACTATATGTTTGTGTAGGTCACCCACCATAGATTGTTGATCCGACTATTCTGATCCTTCTACTATTGGAGCTATCTGTGAGTAATAACTTTGTAAAGATATGTTCAACTTTAAGTATTTTTTGAATGATATGATATGATCTATTTTCTGAAATGCTATTTGAAGAAACCCCATTTTTTATGGCCCTTACGACTTGGGCATCCTTGCATGTGCACCTGATGATGAGTTTATATACTTGTCCAAAGCTTGAAGTCAGCAGAATGTTCTAGCTTGGAGCCTTTTAAACCCTGTACCTTTGTTGTCC